TTATGATATCGAGAATAATTCTTCCAAGTCTCATGATCCTTCTAAGTTTGAGTTCAAGAATAATCTATTATATTTTGAAGGACGCCTATATGTTCCAGAAGGAGAAGCAAGTTTATGTGTTCTTCAAGCACGTCATGACTTTCCAGCAGCAGGGCACTTTGGATATAATAAGACTTTGGAACTCATATCAAGAGATTTTTGGTGGCCACAAATGTGGAAGTCAGTCAAAGACTTTGTACAATCATGTGATATTTGTTCAAGATCAAAAATTCCTCGTCATCGACCTTACGGACTTCTTCAGCCATTACCTATATCAGAACAACCATGGTCTTCTGTTTCTATGGATTTCATCACAGATCTTCCAAGCTCAAGATCTTATGATTCTATATTTGTGATAGTAGATCGTTTCACCAAGATGGCACATTTTGTGCCATGTACAAAATCTATCATAGGTGAAGAAACAGCTAAGCTTTTCATTGATAATATCTATCGCTATCATGGATTACCTAAAGATATCATATCGGATAGGGGAACTCAATTTGTGTCAAGATTTTGGAGGACCCTTTTCAAGATTTTAAAAGTGGACATAAAGCTATCTTCAGCTTTCCATCCTCAAACTGATGGACAAACAGAGCGCGTAAACCAAGTCTTGGAGCAATATTTAAGGTGTACTATCAACTACCAACAAGATGATTGGACAACCCTTCTGCCATTGGCAGAGTTTGCTTATAATAATATGGTACATTCTTCCACGCAACAAACACCTTTCTTTGCCAATTATGGCTATCATCCACGACTTGATACTTTTGATTTTTTAAAAGTTGATAATCCTGCAGCAGAAGATATGGCAAATCGGTTGTCAGAGTTACATGCAATAATGAAGACACAATTGAAGGAAGCTCAAGAACGACAAAAGATAAACGCAGATGTATATCGTAAGGAGCAACCACAAATCAACGTGGGTGATAAGGTATGGCTACTTCGTCGCAATATCAAGACTACTCGACCTTGTGACAAGTTGGACTATCGTAGGCTTGGCCCCTTTTCTGTTTCTGAACAGATCAACCCAGTTGCATATCGGTTACATCTACCGGAGTCAATGAAGATCCATCCTGTATTCCACGTATCTCTTCTTGAACCATATAAGACAGTGGATATACAAGGAAGAAGACAAATGCTACCGCCTCCTATAGAAGTAGATAATAATGAAGAATTTGAGGTGGAAGAGATATTAGACTCAAGGCGGCGCCGAAATAAGCTGGAATATCTTGTTCATTGGCGCGGATATGATATTAGTGAACGCACATGGGAGCCATCCAGGAATCTAGCAAATGCATCAGCTAAAGTCAAAGTTTTTCATCAACGACATCCATCAAAACCAAGATGAAAATCTCTCTTATAAAAGAGACAAGATTGAGGCAAGATAACATTCAATTTCCTATCCTTGTTTGTAACTTCTTTACATTTGTGACGCTAATTAGATGGAGAGCCAACAACCAGCGGATTCAACTCAAGAACCTTCGTTTGCTGACCTGTCGGACGAGACATTACGATTGTGACAACCTTCAAGACGATGCAATCGAGATGAAGATCTTCAAGAACGACATGTTCTTCCTCGAACAGATGGTGAGATACAACACGTTTGGTATCACGATTTGGGAAGGGATTCCCGATGTTTGGTGATTTTGCTAGAGGTAGGAACAACTCCTGATGGTGTTCCGAATATTCTATTCGAAGGAAGTTATGAAGGCCTCAATAATGATCAAATAATTGGGTGGTCTTCCCGCCCTGGTATGGGACACTACCGATGGTTGAGAGGCCCTATCAATCATCTTCGAAGAGAACAGAGATCAGAGTATGTGGCGAATACAATTCGTCGCATCATAGATTTCCTCAATATATGATGACCGCTCCTCGTGGAACTCGTCTCTAGAAGGGGGGGTAATGTCACGGCCATAATCATATAAGCTAATAATTACATATAGAAATAGGTAGAAGTAAGTAAAAGTAGATAAAAGTAAGTTAATTGTATAATATTTAATATAGAAGCTTCCTAGAAACTTCCTAGACGTTGCTTTGACTTCATAGGTGTCTTTAATTGACTTTTTGGATTAGAAACGTGGTCAACAAGTTGGCCATGTGCCACACATGTTGTTAGCTTGAAGATCAAGCTAACTATGTGGCCCACACGTAGGAAAACTTGCCTTGTAAGTCAAGGCATGTGTCCTACAAAGTCAACACATATTGGAGGTCCTATAGAACGTCGCCACGTAGCCCCTAGTTAGATAGTATATATAGAGACAAGAGTGAAGGCTTCTTCACTCTTGTCAACTCCTTTCTTGCTTCTAGTCCAGCTTCAAGAGTCTTTAATTTCTTGTCTTGTGGCAATAGCCATTCTAGTTTCCTTTTAATATACCTACTTGTTTATATTTTGACTTATTATATCGAGATAGCCTTTTGGTGTATATTTTCCCTCATCGAGTCTTTGTCCTTGACAGGCACTTTGATACATTAGTTTAATAATATTTAAATTACCATTAATAGTATAATAAAAAATAAGATTATTTATCTTATTATCATGTTATCTTTTTAGATGGGGGAAAAAAAACATAAAATAAACAAAGAACTTAATTTTAGCAATTAAAATTTTAAAGTATATTTAAAATGGGGTGAATTTTTAGAATCCATAATTAAAATAGAGGGTTAGGATTGGGCAGAGACAATGGCTTGGAATGGAAGGTAGGAATGGAGGACTAAGGCTTGGAACAAAGTTGGAGATAAGAGATGGGTACATAATGAATCATAAAGTAGAAAAGAAGGGTGTGGCTTAAACAAAATTGAGCTATGGCTTTAACAACTCCCTATATATATATATACAGAATGTATTAGTGAAGTCTATATAAAAATATTTTAATAATTCTTTTAATTTTTTTTTCTTTTTTGTATCTATGTTAAATATATCTCATAATACCTTTAATATAATTTTATTTATCTTTGTATAATTTTTTGGTATAATGTATAAACTTTCTAAACTCATAAAATTAAATAATTTTTGTCTTATTTTTAGTGAATTTTTCAAATTAACCTTGCACTTGTTGATGTTTCTTTTATTTAAATTTGCAAGTTTCTGTTGTTGGTATGAATCATTACGGTTTTACATGTGCAGCTTTTTTTGACACGACTTTTTATTAATTAAAAATATCAAAATAACAATAATCAATTTTTTAAAAATAATTTAAAAAGAAATCTATAATATTTTAAAATCTTATTTTGTGGTTAATTAACTATCAAAATTAAAAAAATATAATTTACTATAATTTACTTAGAATTTTGTTAACATAATGTATATTTAAAATGACCAACTTAACTTATTTACTAAATAAGTTTGAATCTAAGGTTTGTACAATGAAAACCAAAATGTCATTATATTTTAGTTTAAAAATTACTATACTTTTTTTTATTAAATTTACTTTAAAATTTAAAAATTAAAAAAACTCAGTTAAATAAATATAGTCATGTTTTAGGATTTAGCAAGATTATCTATGACATTATATATAAATTTCCTTTAAAGAAATTATCTTCTTTAATTCATTATTGTTCAAATTTTGCTAAATCACAATTATCTTGTAAAAATTATTTAACAATTCTTTTTTTATTCTTTTCAGCATTTCAAATAATGATATATTTACTTTTAGATAAATTACTTATAAAAATATTATTATGACAAGTAATACATTAGCATTTACAGTGACACTTTAATAAAATATATATTAAGATTTAAATAGAAATATATATATTTATATTTATAATTTAAAAAATAATAATAGAATACAATTATTTTAACATTTTATTATCTTGTATTCTAATCATGTGTAAATGTTTTACTGTTTTTTTTTAAAATTATCTTAGAATTTCAATACTTATAATACAATATAGACATATCTTATTTTTGGCTTATTTTTTAAAACCTTAAAAAATCTAATATTAGTATAAATTTTTCAAATCTATAATATTATTTGTAACAAAATTAATTTTTTTGTAACATCATTAATTTTTTTTAAGGCACAAGTTGTAGAAATTTGTTAAACTATATTTAATGTAATTTTACAATCTTAAAGAAGTAAAATTATAAAAATATGTTCTTGTGGTAACTTTTGCCTAACACAAAGAAAGCCAACAGTCTTTAGCGAAGACTAGAATATTAAAGAGACATTGACAAGAGTCAAAATAGTATCAATCTTCCCTTAGTAAATACTCACTAACAAGATTATCATGAAGAATCTTAACAAAGACCATGAAGCTTATAGATAATTTTTTAAAGTTATGAGAAGCTTCTATAATAGTTTCTTAAAGTTGAGAAACTATTATAGAAGCTTCTCATAACTTTAAAAAATTGAGAAGTTGAGAAACTAAATATATATATATATATATATATATAGAACAAGCACATGACACATCAATAGACACTTGTGGATCCAACTTACATCCAATTAAGATTTTACAATGAAGATATTTTCTACCTAATTTAAATTTGAGTTTTTTCTGTTTTTGTATTTTAATAGTATGATGAGAATAAATCATTGACTCTAATCAAATTTTTAAAATAATATTTTAGATTAAATCTATAGAACACATCAAAAGTCAAAATCTAGACTATATTACTTCAAGATAATCTTTAAATTTTATTTTAATTTTTAAAGTAAAGATAAAACTTATTACGTTTTTTTGTTATTAAATCTTTCATTGGAAAAAAAACAATATATTTTATGAATAATTATGTTTCTTTTTATTTATTTATATTTTTTAAAAGTATTTTCTATCTTCCTTGTCAATAAATTTTTATCTAAGTGTGTAAGGCCTATTTGGGATCTTTTATACAATTCGTTTATTTTATTATTTTAACATTTTATTTTATTAATTCTCACACTTTCAGCTAATGTTTCAGACGCCATAGGATGAGACACCACAAGGTCTATCCAATTGTGTATTCGAGAAACATAGATATGAATTAGCAGGCTCATGTTCTTAAAATGTCCACGAAGTGTCCGCTGGTACCCAGAAATTACAAAGACTTGTAGACATTACAAGCAGAGTTCCACCCCATGCAACATCCGAAATGACAAAATGACATAAAACTGATGTATCCAAGGCTGTATCGAAACCTTCTACTCAGTGAAAAGATGTAAGTGGTTTTTTCCTTTTTACAACTTCGTTGCAGGCTTCAAATCTCTGAAGATACATCGGAAGCAGCTATAAGCTTTACTAACTCTCCCTTCTTTAGTTTCGAATATCCCTTCAATCCCTTCGCCTTTGCCATGCTCCTCAGCTCTGAAAGCTTGTAACTTGATAAGTCTTTGCTTACAGCACCATGCTCAAGAGCTTCACTTTCAGCAACTTCGGTGTCAGCACTCGCAGTCTTTGATGGAGAGACAAGTTCTGCAGGGGCTACTTCAGAAGAATGACTCTTCTTCTTCTCGGATCTCGTCGCTCGACTGCTGTTTTGATTCCTCGAGATTGGCGACCTCGTCGTGAACTTTGACTTGCTGGGAGCTTTGGCCACTGGAGTCGCCTCAGCTGATGACTGTCTCTTGGAGCTCGACACTGAGCTGCGTTCTCGGTTCTTTGGGATTGGCGACTTCCTCGAGAATGACGATGCATGCCTCTCAGGCCTCGCAGATATGCTGCTCACTGTGCTGTCCACCGGCGTCTCCTTGTCCTCTGCCGCAACAAGTTCGGCAGTATCCGCTTCCGCTTTCGAAGCAGTGCGCCGGCTGCGAGCAGCAGGAATGGGGGACTTCTTCTGGAAGCTCGACGGATGCCGTTGTGGAAGAGCAGCCGGTGTCAGGGTCTGTGTGGGTACATTCACGTTGGCACTTTCAATCTGCTGTATCGTTGGTTGAGCTGCAGCATCGGCGGTGGTTGTGGACCCGCTGAAGGAGAAGAGCAGGCTCCCATCTGCATGCTCTGCGAGCCCCAAAAGCTGCATCAACAATTGTGGTACCTCAGTCGCCAGCCAAAAACCTAAAACATCATCTTCTAATCAAGTAATTGTGTTCCTTGTTTAATCTTCTGTTGTGGTATTGAATTCCCTAACCTGGTAACAAGTTGTAGAGCTATATGGTGGTCTTTTTGCTGTCTCCTCTCACCTCCTCAACAGGTGTAGCGTCCAAGCTCGCCGCTACAATGGTTGCTGCCTTTATCCCAGCTTTGAGGACATCTCCAGCAGCCGAAGCAGCCGCTTCTGTCAATTTCTCAACTGAAGTATTCACTTTAGAATCCTTACCAATTGCATCCAAATCTTCAGTATCAGATGCGGTATCTTGACCCTCAAGATGCTCACAGCGTTGTACCTCCTGAAATTGATCAGATGTGGAATCTGCAGAGTGTGGAATTCTTTCCCATGGTATCGACACTAAAAGTGAAGAGGCTCCAGGTACTGTTTCTAGCACATGGTTGGGTCCAGATTGCCACTCAGTCTCTTCTCCTTCAGTGGATACTAGTATATATTTCCACTCAAATTTCCTATCTTTAGGTATATCCTGTCACCACAATGCATCCGAATTTCTTCATTTATTGTCCGTAACGTCTTGAATAAAGCTAAAGACGGGACCCACTACCTTAGTGTTTAATTGTAATTTTAATCCGCCAATCAAATAGAGAAGAGAGGTCCTCACCACTTCAGTAGTCCACAAATGACCTTCGCTCCAATTCAAGGGTAAAGCAGCACTTGGGTCCCAGTCACCGAAGTGAGAGCCACTGCCAACGACCTTGAATTGCTGTCCAAATTGGCATTCCCTTTGAAGCTGGAATTTCACCTTCATCGTCACACCTGAAGATTCGTCCACAGCCTCCAACGCCCTATCTATAGCTAAACCATCCTACATTAAACGGGACATGTTCAGCTCAAAGAAGAAGCAAATCTCTGAAGACATTCTGAGTGTATTCCTCAGTACACGCAATGCGGGTATACAAATGGGAGAAAGGGAGAGAGAGATGAATCCTGATTGCAAAAGCTTAAACAAGTACAAGACACTGCCAATATCATAGAATTCTGATGCCTTCTATTTAGTGCAATTGCTCGCAGTTGCTAAGGTACAGACCTAACAAAGGAATAATCCTTCTTCGGCGATGATACAGTCGGTACACTTCGTGGTTTAAAATTTTGAGGACTGGGTTTCTAAACCCAATGAAACACAATCTGCGGAAGGAATTAGTGATTTTGCGTAACAAGCTAAAAGAGGGATACAGGCAGGAGCTGGCAACCTCGGAAAAAGCTGTTACTCGGAACCACTGCCGCGCCGATTGCACGCACGAGCCGCTCAACCCTGCTAACCTAATCAAGTTGCAGCGCTGCCGCAATACTCTATCTTGGACACTCGAACCCACTTTAACCGTTTGCACTAGCCTAATCCCATTAAAATAATTCTCCGCCTCAACCCCATTCCCTGTATAAGCCAGCAATCCTGCCCTGTGCGGCCCGGCGATTGCTGCCATAATCATCATCCTTACCTCTTTCTCCCCCTCCCCGCCTCTTGTCTAGTAACAACTTCCAGTTAGTTATTCAAAAACTTACACTCCCACTCTAAAAAACAACCAATACCGCCGTCACCTCCAAGCCCACCCTTACAAACTTGATTCCTGAGCAGTGCTGTGCCTCTACCAAGATCTTCAGAGTCTCAACAAAAGAACCTCAGCAAGGAGCTTGTCAGTGGTCGCAGAGTTGGTCATATTCTGGAGGCCACTGACGACAAGCGTTACGAGTACCTCTCCCTCTCTCGCTCATAAAGTAATACAACAGTCGCAGTTTCTGAGAGTATCTAGGGTTTCTCACGGAAACGAAAGGATGACTTCAAAATATAAAACAAGGAAAGCCGTGCCCCTAGAAAACTAAAGAAGAAATCACAGCCACACCATTAGTGAAACCCGGATTTGGGAAAGTTAAAGACTTACCTCACAGAGGATATAGTAATGAGAAATCTGAAGGAGTATGACGTGCACTTCATATAATTTATATAGAAGTTTCTTCTTCTCCTTTCGATCATTTTAAGAATTATTTTGGTGTTGCAATTCAAAATCTAGGTTTTCAGATATACATAAATTGACACATTAAATCTATTTTGAAGCCCATTGTTTGTCCTTTATTTGAATCACTTAACTTTCTTGAGTTGTCTCAAGTACTACAGGACAGGTTGCAAGCTCTTTCACAAAAGTTTCCCTAATATTTGATATTAATTGTAATAGTAAAATTTGCCAGTCTCAAATCACCCAAAATTTAAATAGTATTGTCAGCCATTAATTGCTTCGTTTTCATGAGCTGTTAGCCTGACGAAGTCATCCTTCTCTTATTACCAGTCGCTAAGCAATCTTCAAAGCACTTCAAACAAGGTCAGTTCCAGATGTGTTATTGAACGAAAGCTCTCTACATCAAGTAGAAGAATCCAATGTGTGTGACAGGATCAGAAAGACTTTCCGCTACCAATGCACTGTCTCGATGATTGCAACTTGGGCTACATATCAACGCTTACAGGATATTCCACATTGGCAGTGGAATTAAAATTCACAAGATATCTGTCATCATCAATACCACACCAATACATGTTTGTATGTCATAAGAACTATTTAAGTACGTTCCTTCACCGGCAGGTGTCCTTTCTACCTGTTGGTTAAGTGTTGCCATGTACATCCATCATCAACTGCCACAAAAAAACGATGGAGAAAAATGACCCAAACATATACTGGATTTAGTTCGCAAGTTCAACACTACATTCATCTTTACAATTTCATTCCAGGCTTTAAATCTTTTCAGGAACCTCAGAAGCAGCTATAAGCTCTACTAACTCTCCCTTCTTTAGTTTCGAATATCCCTTCAATCCCTTCGCCTTTGCCATGCTCCTCAGCTCTGGAAGCTTGTAACTCGATAGGTTTTTGCTTACGGCACCATTCTCGACGGCTTCACTTTGAGCTACTTCATTATCCTCAATCACAACTTTTGATGGCTTCGACGATTTCTTCTTTGGTACAGAAACACTACATCTTTCCACATCCTCTTCTGCATCTTGCCCAGCCGTCTGCTTGCCGTCATTCAAAATCTCCTTCAGCTCAGGAGAGACTGGTGAATCACTCTCAGTTTCAGAAACTACAGGTTCAGATTGAGCAGGAGCCACTTCTGTAGGGGCTACTTCAGTAGAATGGCTCTTCTTCTCGGATCTCGTCGCTCGACTGCTGTTTTGATTCCTCGAGATTGGCGACCTCTTCGTGAACTTTGGCTTGCTGGGAGCTTCTGCTGATGAAGTCACCTCAGCTGACGACCGTCTCTTGGAGCTCGACACTGAACTGCGTTCTCGGCTCTTTGGAATTGGCGACTTCCTCGAGAATGACGATGCAGGCCTCTCAGGCCTCGCAGATATGCTGCTCACTGTGCTGTCCATCGGTGTCTCCTTGTCCTCTGCCGCAACAAGTTCAGCAGTATCCACTTCCGCTTTCGAAGCAGTGCGCCGGCTACGAGCAGCAGGAATGGGGGACTTCTTCCGGAAGCTCGATGGATGTCGCTGTGATAGAGCTGCAAGTGTCGGGGTCTGCGCTGGTACATTCACGTTGGCACTTTCACTCTGCTGTATCGTTGGTATAGCTTCAGGTGTCTGGGTCTGCGCCGGTACATTCACGTTGGCACTTTTACTCTGCTGTATCGTTGGTAGAGCTTCAGGTGTCGGGGTCTGCGCCGGTACATTCACGTTGGCACTTTCGCTCTGCTGTATCGTTGGTAGAGCTTCAGGTTTCGGGGTCTGCGCCGGTACATTTACGTTGGCACTTTCACTGTGCTGTATCCTTGGTTGAGCTGCAGCATCGGCGGAGGGTGTGGACTTGCTAAAAGAGAAGAACAGGCTCCCATCTGCAAGCTCTGCGAGCCCGGAAAGCTGCATCAACGATTGTGGTGCCTCAGTGGCCAACAAAAACCTAAAACATCATCTCCTGATGAAACTCTCTTATTCCTGCCCTGAACTTCCACATCGATGTGGAAATTCTATACTTGGCGGCAGGCTTCAATCTATACAGTACGGTCTCTCTACCCACAGCCACCAGAGGATTGAGAGTTGAGAGCAACTACGATATTACGATATTGTGCACCTGAACATCATCTAATCCTTATTACGATATTATGCACCTGAACATCATCTAATCCTTAATTGTCATAGACTTTTCACACTGAATTGCACCAATCGGACCCAAAGCAGACGAACAAAAGGGAGCGAAGAAGAAACAAAAAATAATAAAGTTAATTTGGTTTAACAGAGGAAAGATCAACAAAGAAGCAGTCATTGCAAACGCGAAATGTAGACTAGACACCAACTACGTTTAGATACATGGCGTTTACCATAGTTGCTAACAGCTCATATGTAAGATAATCGAGATTGAATTGATTTGGTCATTGGCTCAAGTTGAATGTAAGCCAAAACAAACGGCTTTAAGAGCAAGCGATACCTTCTCTTTGCTCCAATCATGCACGGCGGATAGGACAGGTTGCCACCACTCTCCACTGACTTTGTCAGTTTCTGAAAAGTGGTACAGATTCAGAAACATTCAACAAATGCTTCAAGGAAAGTACATGAGTGCATATGAGACGCACATGTTATACTCAGAAGTATGGAAAGCATCATGTATTACCTTGAACATCTGTGATATCATGCTCGCCCTCGCTCGTTGCCCTAATGTGTCCTTTTTTTGTGGAATAAAGTGTCCTGAGAAGAGAAACTCTGTATATCTTCCCTCTGCGTAGAGACAAGCGACTGTCACTAAGGGTCTATGATTATAATAGTGATGATACATTTCAGCGTAGTCTCTTCCAAAATACGAGATGTAGCACGCTGAGAATTACGGAAGCAGTCAAGAAAATGAAAGCTGATTTAAACACCATCCATAGTCGCTTGATCTTAATACTAGAAATCCCGGGTTATTTTGATTGAGAAAATAACCATAACATTACCATTCAATTAACAGTCAGAAGTAAATCTGGAAAATATAGACACAACCATTCAATATTTTCGACCTCCAGAGTACGATCCCTAAATCGTCCATCTCCCATTCACTTACGACAAGAATCCTCAAAATTCACGATTCTAGAGTCGAACAATAAAATTTGCTCGCTTCAAGTCTGGTCAATAAAGTACAGCTTCGCAGACTTTCTTGTAGAAAATTTTGATGGGTTGTATCCTAAATGCTGTGCAGGAAGACCTCAATCATGGCATTGAAGTTTGCAGGTGACCTACGTGTATCTCTTCTAACCAGGATTGTCACAATTTCGAGCCAGCAAAGTAGAGGATTAAAGCAACTTGAAGCAAAAGTTCCAATCAAAAGTCAAACGATAAGAAAGCATGAAAAAAACAAAAATAACACATTGCATAACTGTACTCGAGTGACTTCCATTTGAACTTTGACTACAAGAGGACTTTTTCTAAGACGGTCCCAACTAAATCAAAGCGATTTAGTTTCTCTAAACCCTATTCATAAACATCAGCACTCTAAAACAAAGCCATTGCCATTTTTGACAACGCAGTTTTGACGAGGTTGGAAGCCGTCATAGAAAAGATTAAGTCACACATTAACAGTATACACCTTAGTTCCTGCGCTCACGAATAGCTGCTTTAAATGGGTTAATGGCAGGCTTACAATGGATAAGAAGCAGGAGAAAAACCTTACCTCTCACTACTTCAGGAAATCTGGTCCATACCTTACATGAGAAACTTAGAGAAGTCACATTATTGAGTTAAAACACAACGAATCTAAACGGAAGGCTCTCACAAACCTGGACTCTGAGGTGATGCCTTTTGGCCGGCACCCCAGCAAGGATGCCGCAGGCCGCACTCTCATTGCGGAGGTCCTGTAATCCCTGGTCCGGCGCACCACCCCGTCCACGACCTCATGTTGGGGCCGCTGCAACTGCGCTGAAGTCAGCGCTGTTGCCATCTGTCGAGAACCAAACTAAACCCACACCACTATACCTTCTACCAAAAACTAAAACCTCCAGAACACTAAAACTAAAACTAAAACACAAACCCACATATAGAAAACCTCAGAGGAGCAGAGTAAATCGGACTGGAGTCGAGGTTAAACCCATTTCCAGCATTCGCACTTGCTCCTACCCCTCCTCCCTACACCAGGTGAGAGGAAGGCAGGCAGCACTCGCAAAAGCAAAAGCACCCTTAAACCCTACGGCGCGACTAAATAAGAGCCTCATCCTCTCGAGGTTGTGCATTAGTCCACACGTCTGGGTCCAGAGGTTTGGGCCTGGCTACTGATTCGGTGAACACCTCCAGGTAAGCACCTTTCCTATCCGCTCCACCTCCTCTTTTCCTTCAATATTTTCTCTGCCTCCTCCCCACCTTGCGTCTTGGTTTCTACGCTTCGTGTCGACATCGTCACTGGATGAATTTAGCAAACCCATCTCTCATGTGGGTTTTTGAATGCATCCATTTCCTTTGCACTCTCTGCAACCATCCGTCACTGTGACAGTTCTAATACCTTATCTGAGATTCGAATCCGGAATTCTATTTGACATGGCTTACGAAGTGCTCTGCTCGCGCCTACTTACACCATTCACGATGCATTTGACATCGAATTTTTGAAAGTTGTCACCTTTGCAGTGGTCGAGAAAAAAACACAGATTGGGGCCGTTCGAAGTGTTCTGAAGCCATTCGACATCGCTCGGAGCATCCCAGGCTGTGTTTTTGAATTACTTGACTGATTAACCAAACAAATTTTTATGTATGATTTTATTTATTTTTTGCAACAATAGGGATTGATTAGAGATTAGTATTGGTTAAGTAGTAACATTAGTATCCAATTCCTAAAGAGTTAGAATTCGAAGGAAATTTGAAGCAAAGTCACTAGCTTTTCTACTTACTAGTTAATTGTTGGTTAGTTGTTCTCATTGAATCATTAAAACATTTTGTACAATTTTAAAATTCTATTCTATTGTCTTATTTATTTATTTTCCATTTAAAATTTATCCTAGATTCATAATAGTATCTTTTTTTTTGTTTGGTCAACATTTTAACTTGTCTTTTGTTCAATTTCATAACATACATTTGTATTTTATGAGACTAGACTATATAAGCTTTCTTATATAAGCTTCCTCATTTGTCGATCCTTCTATATCTTATTGTTAAATCAAAAAAAATATTATATTACATCTAAGATATCCAAAGAAAAAAAGAAAAAATTAGGAATTACATTGTGCTAAAAAATTGAATCTTATAAAGATTTCTTTTGTAAATATTGTTTGTTTTTTAAAACAATTCTAAAGTTTCTACTATTGAAAAGTAGTAATTGATTTATACATAATAGAAGTTGTCCAATTCCATATGCATCTAATTTAAGGACTATTTTAAAAATCTTAAAGAATTATTATAGAGAGATTTTAAATATTTATTTAACAAAGAAAATTGATAGTTATGTTGTAGTGATTTTTTAAAAATCATAAGTCCACTTCTTTATTTGATAAAATGTTTTATTTTTAATTGTATAGATTTTATATGTATTGCATCTTTCTTTTCTTTTTTATGAAATTTGATTGCTATATAAGAATTAATATAAATACTTATAAGATAGAATTCTCCAACTTATTATAAAAATTTATGTCTTATTTCAAAAAATAACAAAAAAGAATTAAATTTTAAATGTGTTACCATCTTAGACTAAGCATAGCCAATTGAAAATTAAATATTAAACAATATTTCTATTAAGGGTATGAACCTCAAAGAACTAAAATATCAATATATTCTTGTGTCACTTCAAAAGACTAAAAAATCATTCAAAAATGATATAGTATTAAACTAGAATGGCTAATGCTAAAGACAAGAAGAGCAAAAAATCTTAAAAGAAGACTAAGGACTAGAAAAGTGTTGACAAGAGTGAAGAAGGCTTTACTCTTGCCTCCATATATACTCTTAAATAGAAGATATATGGTGATGTCTTATGTGACCTGTAAAACATATTGACTTTACAAGACACATATCTTAACTTGTAAGGCAAGTTTCTTATGTGTATACCACATAGTTAGCTTGTTCCACAAGCTACCAATATGTGATTAATTTATTAACCAAGTTTCCAAGTTAACAATCAATTACAAACATATATAAAGTCAAAGCAGTGTCTATGAAGCTTTTAAGAAGTATCTCTAAAAACTATTATGAAAATTTTTATTTTTACCTACTTCTATTTAATTATATAGATAAATATTAGAATAAATATGTATGTCCATGACATTACCTCTCTTCTAGAAACAAGTTTCATGAAAAGTGGTCATCATATGGAGAAAATCCAAGATGTGACAAATTGTATTTGTTACATATTATAATCTTTGATCTCTTTGAAGATGGCTGATAGGTTCTCTTAGCCATCGTTAGTATCTCATACCAAAGCAGAAAGACCACCTTGTTATCTCATTGTTGTTGAGGCCTTCGTAACTCCCTTCAAATAAAATACTTGAAACACCATCAAGAATCATTCCTACTTCTAATAAAATCACCAAACATTGAGAGGTTTCTTCTAAAATTATGATATTAAATATGTTATATTTTTCCATCTATTCAAGAAAAGATATGTTGTTTTTGAGGATCTTCATTTTGATTATGTCGTCTTGAAGGTTGTAACAATTGTAATGTCTTATTTGATAAGTCAACAAATGATAGCCCTTAAATTAAATTTGTTGGTTGTTAGTTTTCCATCTCCTTAGCATCACAAATATATAAAAGTTACAAATAAGAGTAGAAGGTAGAATGCTATCTTTCTTGGATCTTATTTCTTTTATAGCAAAGATTTTTTTATTTTTTTATCTTGATTTTGATAGATGTCATTATTGAAAAACCTCAACTTTCTTTGTTGCATTCGCAAGATTCTTTCTTTGCTTCTATGTAAATTTATTAATATCATATCTATGCCAATAAATAAAATATTTTAATCTATTTTGGTGCCACCTTGAATCTGATACTTCTTCCACCTCGAACTTTTGATTATTATCTATTTCTTTGGAAGGAAGTGGCATTTGTCTTTTTCTTGAGATATTCATTGTCTTACATGGTTCAAGAAGAAATATATAGAATATAGGATGGATCTTTATAGATTCCAATAGATATAATCGATAAGCAATAGGATTGATGGAGCTTATCATTTGTTCCCATTTGTAATAAAACAATACCTATAAGAAAGTTTAATGCAATTTTTTTCATAAAAAATGTCCTAAAAAATAAATATAATATAAAATTGGTGCAAAAGTAAATATTATCTTTAAGACTTCAAAAGATGTTTCAGCTTCTTTATTCTACTCAAGTTTGTCTTTACATGTCAAACATATAAGAAGACTTGTAACTTAAGAAATTTTTTTGATGAAGATTTTATATTAATTGATAAATTTTAAAAAATATTATATATCTTTGATTATTTTTGAGAGCTTCTAATCTATGATAGTCTGGACCTTTTTAGGATCTATCATTAATTCTTTGTTGAAAATGATGTATCTTAAAAAATCAACTTGAATAGTGTAGAATATACACTTTTTTATCTTTGCATATAATCTAGCATCTCTAAGTTTTTGTAATGCATGATAAACATGAAGTTCATATTCTTCTATGTTCTTAGAATAGATTAGAATGTCATCTGAATAACAAATAACAAAATCATCAAAAAACTTACAAAAGACATCATTCATGAGATATTAAAAAGCAGGTGGTGCATTTGTGAGTCTAAAAGGCATGATATTATATTCAAAATATCCATACTTAATTCAAAAAATAATCTTCTATTCATCTTTTTTTTTGATGTGGACCAAGTTATATGTTCTTTATAGATCTATTTTTTATATAGATCTTTGCTTAAGTGAGTTGATCAAGAAGTTTTGAAATCAAAAGTAAGAGGTACCTATTCTTAATGGTGATCTTATTAAGTCCTTGATAATATATGCACATCTGTATAGATCTATCTTTTTTCTTCACAAATAAGATATGAGCTTCTACTAAAAGTTTTGGATGGCATATATTCTTAGCCAAATTTTTATCAAAGTATTCTTTTAGTGCAGCCAATTTATTTTGTAATAAGCCGTAGATTAGTCTGAATGGTGGTTGAGCTCTTTCTTGTAGATCAATTGAACAATTATAAGATTAATGCTCTCAAAAAAAAATCTATATTTTTTTATTAAATAATATCCTAAAAATTTTAATACCAACTAAAAATATCAATTAATATCTTTCAATTATAAAAAATAGGTGTGGCATATATAAAAAAAGATGACACTTCTTTTACCACATACATAAAAGTTCTTGTACCTATTAATAAGGGTATGGATGTACTAGGCTTATCTATTTCTATTTCACTATTAAAATTTTGGATTAAATAAGAAGAAAAATTAAGATTATAAGAAATCTAATTTATCTAAAGATTATATATTTTTTAACCATGATAATCCTAAAATAATTAGATTAGATGGAGCTCTTATTACATTAAATATTAGTATACTACTATAATCTTTAATTGCTATATCTAAAAGAATAGTTTTATAAGTAACGTCTCCAGAAGACAAGAAACAACTATCTATGACTTCTATATGTATAGATTTAGTTTTCTTGATTAAAGTTATTTCTTATTTTTTAATAAAAAATTTATTTACAAAATAAATTGAAGATTTTGAATCTAATAATGTATTAGGGATCATATATAAGACAAAGATTCAAGACTAAGAAATAGAATTAGTTCAACATTAGAACAATAACTGAATACAAGACAAGAAGGTCCTGACTAGACCATAAGAAATGAGTTGTCAAGAGTGAGGATCCCCTCAGCCTCGACTCCTATATATACTAGGTCCTAGAAAGCTTCTTGAAAAGTTTTTATGAGGCTTGGAAACAAAGCAAGCTCAGGTTCCTTCTTTGACAACTTCTTAAATCATCTAAAGTCTCTTAGAACCTTCTAGGGTCTCATGTGACCTTTTAGAACTTTCTTGAAATCTATTGGAACCTTCTGGAACATTCTTAGAACCTATTAGAATCTTCTAGAATCTTTTGATATCTTCTAAGATCTTTAAGAACCTTCTTAGAATCTTCAAGAATCTCCTAGAACCTTCTCAAATCTTCTTCAATTATATGTCCGTGATATCACCTCTTCTTCTAGCTTTGAGGTCTCCAAAAAGCAATATTGGTCTATCTTTTGACTACCTATATCACATAAAATAGACAAGATCAAAAG